AAATAAATCACACTCTGAGATTCACAGCAATCAGAAAAATTAAGAAAAACTACAATTACGTACATACACCGGCGCCGAGGACAACATGAAGAGGCTTCTGGCGGCCGAATAAGCGATTCTTACAAGTAAAAGACATGCAGTAATTATCAATGTCAGAGTCAGAAGAGTCTCCATTATCAAGTTGGTTGTTGAGAAAATCAGAATCAGCAATATCCATATCCACGGGATCCAGCATTTCTATGAACGTTCTAATGTTTCTATGTATCTATAATACAGCTACAAATTACAATTGCATCAATTACTCTTTTGACAACTTAACCTGCAATGCATGTGACCAACAAAACAGATTAAGAATTGCAACAATCCCATCAAACAACCTTCATTAACGCATTACTAGTTCATGCTTTATTTCTCTCTCAAATCTGAATCCCAAACATAAATACGAGGAACAAGGAGGTTTTGTTCTTCTGGTTGGTGCCTGTTTAACTTCCGTCCACAACTCCTCTTGCCTGTCGCCACGTGTCTTTTCAGAACATGCTATTTCACCTGTGTCCTATAGTATTTTTAGACCATGTTTAGGATCTACGTGCATAAATATGTTACACATTTGCTATATTTGATGTGATCTACAATGTCGTCCATCTAGCACTAATTGTGCATATTTCCATTTTTCCCCTAGGTTTGATATTCCATGTCAGCATATTTGAGCTTAAACCTACCTTTCAGAAAAACCATAAAAGTAGAGGTAGAAAAGAATTCGAAATCAGCAAACTATATTAATAATATTGTTTAAGATTTATACAAGCTAATTCTTGCTTAACTTTGAAGACCTTAATTTGTTCAATATCAAGCACAATGTAGACACCCTGTGTTCTTTGATGAAGGCCAAATAACACATTGTAAACACATATTGGAGATGTCCAATCCAACTAAGGGTTCACCTTAAATGGGAAAAAAAGAGAGTACAAACTTGACATTATACAATACATTTATTATCATTACAATATGAGAACAAGCAATGTGAAAACATTCACCAATCCAAGGGAAAACATAGGCTTAAAACATGTAGAAGTTAATATACAAATAACCTCTCTCTCTCTCTCTCTCTCTCTCTCTCTCTCTCTCCTGTCTTGTTTCTCTTGAAAATCCCGATCCGATCCAAGGGGAAGCCACAGCTTCCTCACTAGGAGATCAACTCCATGCTCTGGCTCCACAACCAATCTAAGAGCAGGTCCATGGTTATACTTTGGAGAAAGTGAGAAGGAGAAGTTGGAAACTATGAGGGCTATGAGAACCTTGAGCTCAACCATGGCTAAGTTCTGCCCAAGACACACTCTTGGTCCAACCCCCAAATGGCATGTACAAGTGGGGAAGCTTGCAAGCTCCTGTGATCCCATTTGCAAACCTATCTGGGTTGAATTTGTAGGCATCTGGGCCCCAGATTGCTGGATCAGTGTGCAGGGTCACTACTGTGGTCCAAACATTGACACCCTTTGGAACATTTATGTCCCCAAATTTCATCTCCTTGAAAGCCTCCCTTGACACCACAGTAACTGGTGGATATATCCGCAGTGTTTCATAAATCACCATTGTTAGCTGCACACATTCAACGATAGTCAAGTTTTTATGGTAATTGATAATATACACATATGCCTGATAAAAGAACATTACTCGCCTAAGTTTATGGCATTTGATTCACAATTTATAATATAAATCACGTAATCTTCCACATATTTGTTGTGAATTGGCTATGAGAGGAGTAGCCCAACTCCTTATAAACCCAGGCTAGGTCCCTTAACATTTCAATGTGGGACAAACACTCTCAACACGCCCCGCACATGTGGCGAACTTTCAAGCCTAACATGTGGACAACACATATTGGGTGACGTGGGAGCACGTGTGGCCGTTGGGCCTAACACGTGAAGCCTTAATCTGATACCATGAAGAAAGTTGAGGTTCCACCCCAAAACCAATTGACAATGAGGGGAGTAGCCCAACTTCTTATAAACCCAAGTTAGGTCCCTTAATATTTCAATGTGGGACAAACACTCTCAACATATGGTACCTCATTCTAGGAACTCCAGTCTAAAAGATTTTCTTGGACATCTCTACCTCTTTGGAATAGTTGCTTCCAAAACAAGCTCTTGAGATAACATCGCCAGAGAAACTTCTCATGTGGTTGTCAATTTTTATGTCAGCAACTCCTCCCCCTGCTTCAATTCTATTGCACCATGAATTTATCAGAGTTGTTGTTGACTCTGTAATTAAGTTTATCATCCCCTGCAGGATTTACCATATATACTTGCAATCACAACAATTTTTGGTGTGCCAAATCAAATCTTTTCTATACATGACGTTCATTATTTATTAAAGAACGAATTGTTGACATTGATTTGTATCAGTATTAAAACGTGATTATAGTGGTGTAGGGGCTTTTTTCTTCCGGCAGCTACTACGGGCCTGACTGCCGTAAAGGGCAAAATGGAAGAAATTGCCCCTTGAGCCTGAGTTCGAAAATTAAGCCCCAAAATACCTCGAAAAGGCAGTAGAGCCTTAGGAAGTATTTTGGTTATCTTCACCAACGAGAATAATGGTAACTTGCAGATAGTTTTGGCATGCTTACAGATAGTCTTTTCAGCTCAGCATGAGTGGCATGTGGCATGGGAGCAAAATCAACATGGGTTTAGCACTAAGAGAGAAATTAGGCTTGGTTTATGAGAAAAGAAAGTGTTTAAGTAAGGAATGAGGTGTTTTGTGAGGAATTCGACTAGGGAAAAAGGAAAAAGAAAGGCAGAGTTCTTCTGGCAGCTGCCAGAAAAACAAATTGGAGAAGAAGATGAACAGTGCACGAGTCTGAGTTTTGCAAGATAGAGAGAAAAGCTTGCTCTCTGCAGGTTATGAGTTGAGTTTGTTGGGTAGGGGAAGGCTCAATTTATAGCTGCCGGAAATCACCATTTTTCAAGAAACCCTAATGGCTTCTACTTACTTTGGCTAAGCTTTTCTTCCTTTCTCCTCCCCTTCTCTAACTTCCCTTTCTTGGCAAAGATTGCTTCTGTCTAT